GTAGAAGCATCATAATTATAACTAAATGGGTTATTGGGTTACCCAGGAACCACCCATTTAGTAAATGGGTGGATGAGAACCAACCCATTTAGCAAGTGCTAAATGAGTCATAAATTGTTAAGTGGTCATAAATATGCTCACCCATTTATGACCCAATTAAAACCTAACCAAAACCATCCATTTGCCATCCCTAACAGTCACTAATGGTGAATCTTGGTTTAAAAAAAAAAAAAAGCAAGTAGTGTCATAAAAGAAGTTTCACGAGCATTGAAGTGGGTGGCAATCATATTCAACAAATAACATGTATACTCAATTCAATAATGTTGCAACTTATCAACAAAGTTTTTAGCTAGTGGCATCAAGATATATCCTTTCTTTATCAAGATATGAATCCCACTGTAATCTTACTTTCCTCATAATGCACCAAGTAAAAAAAAAAAAAAACTGCCCCTCCCTCAATTTGGCATTCACCAATGAGCTACAAAAAAACGTGCATGTTTTTTGAATCCATTATCATAAAGGTGCAAAATCAGTAAAAAGTGAATAAAGAAGAAAAAGGAGAGAAAAGTAGGAGGGGAAAGAAATAGCAGGGAAAATCATCAGAAGGGTAAATTTCACAAAACCCTCAAGAAACCTGGCCCATTCTGAGATAACCCTGAAAAGTTTGAGCGGGTCACTTAACTCCGAAGACTTTTGCATTTTTCTGAAATTGTTTACAGATAACTCCCAAAATTTTGTGGTTACATGTTTGAGAGTCAAGCGACATTTCCAAAATTTTTAGAAAATCTCAAAGTGAGCCAAACTTCTTGGGTGGTTTTGTGAAAATTTTTCTCCATAGAATATAGGCACCAACATTGCGGGGAGCCTACTGACATTTGAGACAAGCTACAAGTTACTTTATTTCTATTCTTTAATACCATTTTCTAAACTAAAAGTAGGCAAAATCTTTTATTCAATTCTCTCGTGCCCATAAAAAAATAGATCTAAATATTGTTTAACAAAAGAAATATGATTTGCTTTAAAGGATCTTTTCTTTTTAAGGGAAGAATATTAGGTGGAGCATAATCTCATGCAACCGTAAAGTGGCTTGATTATGGATGGTGGATCAACTATTGTGATAAACAATAAAATTTATATATGTAAAAAAGAGTATGAGATGGCGACTCATATTACTGAGGCTGTATCCAGATAAGTGTTAGTTAGAGTACGTACTTTGTTGTTCGTACTACGTCCAGAACTGACTCACATAATTCTTTATCACTTTGAAACCTAAAATTTACATTCATGAGCATGGAATGCGTTATATTGTGTCCGTGAGTTTGGTGTAGATCATAACCATGTAGAATAATCAAAATTGGTTTGAAAAATGCCTAAGGACCCAAAATATGGGACCATTGTAGGGGACATGTAAGGTGTCCCCTCCTTATTGCATAATGAGCTGGCATGACCAGCTCATTATGCAATAGGGAGAGGACACCATCTCACTTGTCTCCTACAATGGTCCCATATTTTAGGTCCCTGTAGCAGCGCTCAATTGGTTTTATTTTAGAAGATAGTATTTGAGAGTTCAATGTTCATTTTAAGAATCTCCCAAAATAGGATCAGGCCTGATCATCCCATCTTAGGTAGAATTTTGTTTGAGAAAAAATAGACCAACCCGTGCTCAGTTTTGAGAGGATTTGCCAAACTGACCCTTAGTCTTTGTACCTGTAGGAACAATACCGACGGTCATGGGAATAGTCAGCAAAGCCTTTCGACCGTATTTATCTGAGAGGTTTCCAACGAGAGGAGTTACAATCAAAGTCCCAAGCCCTGTCAACTGAAACAAAATAAATAAATAATAGAAAATAAAAATAATGGGGATTTTGCAGTTAAATTATAGGCAATCTCCACATTGATTCCTTAGCAAAATTTCATCGAGCACTCTTATCATTTCCGAGCTATTATAAAGACAAAAACAAGCTAGAAATCAAGTCTACGTAGTCCAAATAGTACCACATGATGTTGTTTCTTCTTCTTTTTATTTTTGTCTTTTTCCTTTTTTGCTTAATAATTGTACATATGCTATTTTGTTGGGATAATTTCTGCAACAACTTCCACGAGTTTGATATTGTGATAAAATAAAGGCTAAATATATATAAAAAAAATCCTTAACTTGGATGATTATCAAATAACCTCCCGTGCCTTTTAAATATAAAAAAACCTACCTAAAGTAAGGCGTTATTAAAAAAAACCCTTTAAATTTAAGATTTTATTGGAGAAAAAAAACCCCTAACAGACAAAATATTAGAAAACCATAATTTACACATTGCCGAGTAAAATTAGGCGGGAGATATTTTTATTAGGATTTCAGATGTGCTCTTACGTATATTTAAAGTTATTGTAGGCTGTCTAAAAAATCACAACAGATAGCTTATACCCATCAAACAACAACAATGGAAAGTTATAATCAAACGACTTTCACATCAATAAATGAAGGCTACAATTGGAAGATTTTTACGGCAACCGATGAAAGCTCTGATTCAACAGTCTTCACAACCAATAGCGAGAGTTACAATCTGACGACTCTCATATTTCAAGGAGCTAAAGCAATGATTATAAAATGACGATCTTTACTCTGACAGAAGAGATTACAAGTCAACGATCTCTTCAATCTAAGATGCAAAACTCATCTCTGCATCCCAGAAATGAAACACAAGTGGTCGCGTTCCAAAGTCAAAGCAACGTAACCACTGCGTTATCAACCACCAACGCAGCTCAAATCCAGCCGCTGACGCAGCTCAAATCCAGCCACTGACGCAGCTCAAATCCAGCTGCTAACGTAGCTTCCAACGTTATCAACCACCAACGTAGCTCAAATCCAGCCGCAGACGCAGCTCAAATCTAACTGCTAACGCAGCTTTCAGCGTTATCAACCACTCACGTAGTTCAAATTCAGCCGTAGACGCAGCTCAAATCCAGATGCGTTCGACGTAGGATTCACGCCCAGCAACGCAAGACCTGCGTTTGATTCATTCAAACGTGATTTAAACGGTTCCAGAAACTATTTTTCATCCACGATTTAGGGAGCGGTTTAAGGGGGTTGTTACATCCGATTAATGGGGCAATTAAGCCCCCATTAAGGAACGGTTTAAGGGGGCGATTACACCCCTTAATCCCCTATAAATACCAGAAAACTCAATTGAGTTCAGGATCTTTTTTTGGATCTTTTGATCTTGGATCTTTTTTTTTTGAGATCTTCAGATTGGGAGACCCTGGGAGATCATCTTCATCGGCAACAGAGAGCTTGGAGGTTTGGAGCTTCCGAGCTTTGAACTTGGCTTAAAACTGATTTTCGGTTCAAATCAACTCTTCTACAGAGTTTAAAACTCGCACTGAGTTCCTAAACTCATCAAGAGTTCTGTTCAAACTTGCCACGCAATTCCTCCTCAACATCAATCAAGAGGAAGAAACCATGTTCCAGTGAAGTAAAACGTTCGGATCGTCAACAAGATACATGATCGTCAACAAGAAGAACCTATCGTCACCAAGAAGAACCTATCGTCACCAAGTGAAACGTTCGGATCGAAAGCCCATCGACACCAAGAAGAACCTATCATCAACAAAGGAAAGGGTCTTCGTCGATCCCTTCTCTCTTTTGTAAATCGGGAAACCGATCGAGAAGATTGTAATTTTTTTCTAAGCCAGTTAGAGAGAAATTATATTGAGAGAATTGTAACTCATTCTTTTTCTAAGTCTGTTAGAGAGAATAATACAAATTCAATTCTCCATTTTCTTCTTTAATTTTCCCAACAAACAGTTATACATACTTTCTTCTGTATTGATATGTACCTTATTAGGAGGTGCACTAAGTGTAATAAGGCAAATTGAAGAGATGACTAACGAGAAGATTTATTTTTATTAGTATAAACAAGTATAATATATGCTAAATTAAGGAGAATATATTTTTCCTTTGTTTATTTGAGTGCTCTTAATGCTTTGACGCCCTCCATAGTGAAAATTATAAAAATACTAAAAAATTAGGGAGCACCTTGTGTAACTCATCATGCATATCGAAGCCCACTTACTGATGAATTAATTTTTAGTGTAAATTATAGTAAACACCCATTAATTTTTAGCATTTTGTTGTAAGCCCCAAATAACTTTCACAATCACACTAAGCCCCTAATAAATTTTGCAGAAAATACTCAATATCTTTTGGGTAAATTACACTAAACCCCAACAACTTTAAAAATGTCTTTTTATGTTGTTTTGGGGTTCTAATTTATAGGGGTTTCTGCAAAATGTGGAAACTTATGGGGAGTTTTCTACCATTCAAAACTTTATTGGGGGTTTAATGCAATTTTGAAACTTATTGGATTTCTACTCCAAAATGCTGAAATTTCTTGGGATTTACTGCAATTTACCCTAATTTTTAATACCCGGCAACATTTGGAATTCAAAAATGCCTCAGAGACCCTAAATAGGGGACCCAAGGGGGGACAGGTGAGGTGCCCCCCCTGAATGCATGATGCACTGTTCATGAACAGTGCATCATGCATTCAGGGGGGCACCTCACCTGTCCCCCCTTGGGTCCCCTATTTGGGGTCCCTGTAGCAGTACCCTTTGGAATTTGATATGCACAATAGAAATAAAACACAGAAGTTAGTTTTAGTGTGAGATCTAATCCCACAAATTTTATTTATTTATGAAACACAAAAAAATTCTTATTTAATAATATTATTGAAGGCATATATACTACCCGTTTTTCATTGTGCATGCCCTAATTAAATTTGATCGTTAACTGATTGACAATGTTATGAATCAATATTTTGGACACTTGATCAATTTTATTGTTCACATTAACACTGGAGGAAAAGATGAATGCAAGAATGAGATATACACCTAAAATGACATGAAAAAGAGAGACGTGAACTCAATACAAATTAAACACAAAAGTATACAAAGATGAAAGTGAGTAATTACGGAGAGAAAATGAAAGAGATGGACGTGGAGTTTACCGCTTGATGGAAGCCGCTGAGGTAAACGGCGAGCGAGCACTGGTCTCGGCCGGGGCAGAGCGCCGCCATGGTGACGTCGGTGATGGCCGGAATCACCATGAAAGAAGAGAAGTGAAAGAGGAAGACACAAGCAAATAAGTGAGATAATCCCTCCCCAAGATCCTTCGTCTCCTTCACTTTGGTGCCTAGCTAGTATGATAACTTGTGTTGTAACTATTAGATATATATATTTATATATGGGTTTTTTCTTATGCTAGGCCCTTAGATCTTTGTTAGTTCTATATTAGACCTCCAAATCTTCTTATTTCTAAGCTGGACCCTAAATCCATCAAGTTGTTTTAAGGAAGAACACCAAGGCCCCGTTTGGTTGCATAATAACAAGGCTGAAAGTCTGACATCTTTAAGCCAAAATCGCCTCTTTAAGAGGCGATTTTGGCTTAAAGCCTGACAAAACGCTTTTGTCAGGCTTTCAGCCTTTCTCTTTTGCAACCAAACGGGGCCCAAATCTACTAGGTCGTTTTAAGCAAGACCTTCCAAGTTTCGAACAAATTAAATATCAAGATTAATTAGTGGGGAATTTGAGGATCTAAATATAATTAACAAAGATTTGCGGGTATAATAGGGGATAAAAAAACCCTAAGCATATATCTATTGGATAGTCAATGCATCATTAGCATGACTAGCTATTTTCATAATAATATTGTCTACTGGATAATTGATGCAACCATGATAGCCTGCTATTATTAACTGAAGAAAATAGATGGATAATACATCAAGATGGTGGCTGTTATGAGTGAGGCTTCTGAGTTGCTTGTACGTAAGACCTAAAGGTGGGAATTGCTTGGAATGAACTCATCAAAGTTTTGTTCTTTCGAGTATTTATATAACTGAAACAAAATTTGTTAAGTTAATTGTTTTATTGGATCTCAAATAATCTCAAAAGAGAGTAAACATAGGGCCTATTTCTCGTGCATTGTATTTGGAAAGTTGGTAAAATTTGAAAGGAAATTAAATCTAAAACTTTACTTATGCATCAAAAATATTTCCTTTTTTTCGAACATTGAAGATGGGAGTCCATGATCATGGGTTAAATCCCAAATCTGAATGCTCCATGGGCCATTAAGTACTTATGGCCTTTAGAGGTTTAATAAAAAAAAGATTAACTTTAGCATTAAATTTTAAGCCCAGAGTGAACAGCCTTGTTATGCTTAGTCATTTGTATAATTAATTTGGGCTTGGATCAGGTGAGTTTATTTGTCTATTTTCTCACTTTTCCTTAACTTCAATTTTTCTTAAAGAAAAAAAAGTAGGGCGAGATACCACCATTTAGCTTCAAATTTAATAGATGCAACCATATTTACCACAAAAAAAAAGGAAAAGAAAAGAAAAGAATATCATCCATTTTTCCTAAGAAAATTTGAAAAAAAATGGAGATAGATTTGTCGAGCAGCAAAGAGTTTCTTTCTTTGGATTTGGCAGAGCGGGGAATTCATGAAGTCACTCACCCAAAGCAAAGTTTTGTTTAACAACTTTACAAAACTAGACCGGGATCAATCCTGACTTAGTTTTACTTTAAACTAAACTAAGCTTACGCCGGAGTTAGAGGTCATCTAACAAAGAACTAGTTTAAAATTTACTTTTTACCTAGGGAAATTTGGAATAATACTGCCTTAATTTACTTTCCAGAAACAAAGTTTTCAAAATTATCGTCAAAAGAGAGGTGTTAATATAATCATTTGTCCTCAAAAAATATTGAAATCATCGCAATTAAGATAAGAAAATATCATTTGACCAATCTGAAAAACAAGGAGAAGTAGATACTAACTGAGATCATAATCCTCAGCTTTAATTACATACATAATCGAGTTCAGATCAATTAATAGGCTAACTGAACGTACCCCGAATCAAGAAAAGTTACACAAAGCTTAGAAACCTGCAGTAACCACCATTTTATCAATAATAATCATTTTGTTAGTAAATCCCCTACATATATAATCATCATAACTCCTCGGGAATGCTCTGAAGCTTAGGCTGCCACCTTCTACTAACGAGTTCAGCTCTCTTGTTGTGCTTCTTCCTCAAAGCTTGCAGCAGTTCCTCCAACCCGGCA